CACACATCTTAAAGTTGCCAAGGTTGAGAAACACTGCTCTAATCATTACCTTATTTCCCTGCTACAATTTCCCACTGATATCCCTCTATTTCGTAGTGGTTGAAAAAGTAAAACAGACACCCCTGCCCACTCACCCACCCACCGTCTCTGCTGTACCTTTTCCTAGGTTTCTTCAAACAAGGCCAGGATGGGTCCCGGGGTTTTCAAGGGAAGGCTCTTGTCTGCTAAACATCAGCTGCCTCCTTCTCCCCTGTTCTTGCTTGACTGGGCAGGAAGGAGTGAATGAAACCAAGCAGGTGGTGCTTCTGGAAAATGCAGAAAAAGAAGAAGCAACCGTTATATTCACAGAGGAAGTGGCTTTGAGTGGTGGCAATAATGTTCCACCCATTCCACCCATTTTGGTAGCATCGGGCCTGTCGGACCAATCTGAGGCTGAAGACTTGGATAAAGTGCTCTGTTGAAAACTAGCTGCCCCTCTTCCCCCTTGTTTTACGCTCTCAGGATTGATTGCCAGGGTAGACAAAGGATTAAGGAGAACCTCTGAGCAGATACAAAGCACATTTTCCATAGTCAGAGGCACAAGAAGCAGCTGGGCCTCCCTTCTTCTGACCCAGAACAGAAAGACAGGCAACTCCATAAAAGTGACCCGAAAGACAACTCATTTTTCATTTCGGCAGACTTCCTGTCCTTCAGAGCCACATGGCAGGCTGAAATTCAAAAGGTGAGTCATACACAAGTACACCCAGACAAATACACACACTCATATGAAGAAAATAGGGAAGACATTGAGCAGAGGGACCAGAAATGAGCAAATGAAATTGCAGATGGAACTACACATTTTAGCAACAGCACCCAGGTCCCAAACTTGGGTTTTCAGGTGAGAGGAAAGCAGTCAGGGGAGCGAGGGGTCAGCAGGGGGAAGAGTTTTCCATCTTACCACGCAACAATTGTGATTGCTTGCCAAATAGCAGCTCTGCATCTGTACTTTGGAGCACATCGAAAAAAATAAGGACTATGTCTCAAAACTGTAAAGCTGTTATCACCTCTTGCACGTCTTCCTCTTATCATGGTTCAAGGGTGTGCCCTCGCCCTGGGTTCCTCTCAGCAAGGCAAGCAGCTTAGAGACGCTCTCCAGATGTCCTGGTGACCACAACTTTTTAGTGGTGGCTCCCCAAATATCAACACTCTGTGCCTGCTGAGGCCTGGCCAAAGAGGTGGAACCTCAGCACATTTCAGACCCATATCTATTGATGTACCAGGTGTCCCTTATGTTCATATCTGTCCTGTGAATGACCCACATTTGTTAATGAGCACCTGGAAGAGAGGCTGCTTAGACAAGCTAGCTCTTCCTATTTATTCTCAGGAACTGCGAGATAACAAACATTCCCTCTTAGATCATTATTTCTCTCTTTTGTTTTACCCAATATCTACTAAACCAGTGTTTCTCAACCTTGGCAACTTTCAGATGGGTGGACTTCAACTCCCAGAATTCCCCAGACTTTCAGATGGGTGGACTTCAACTCCCAGAATTCCCTTGCTGGCTGGGGAATTCTGGGAGTTGAAGTCCACCCATCTGAAAGGCTGGGGAATTCTGGGAGTTGAAGTCCACCCATCTGAAAGGCTGGGGAATTCTGGGAGTTGAAGTCCACCCATCTGAAAGGATGGAAAGTGAAAAATTACTTTCAGATGGGTGGACTTCAACTCCCAGAATTCCCCAGCCAGCAAGGGAATTCTGGGAGTTGAGGTCCACCCATCTGAAAGTTGCCAAGGTTGAGAAACCCTGTGCTAGACACTTAATCCTCACTAATATGTAATCTTCCCTTGCTGATGCCTAAACCAAGAAACTCCAGGGGTGGATGTTCAAGAGAGGCTGAAGGACTATAAAACTTGTTCAATGAAAGTAACCCCTCGGTGAATCGTATTCCATGGCTGATTAAGGAAGAGACCCCTGGGGCTGTAAGTATTTCCACACTGTAAACTTGTATGAGTGGAAATTTGTGGAAATTTGTGGAAATTTTTCACTTTCCATCCTACAAATTCTGAATTAGGTGTCAACACACAAACTGGAAACAACATCCTATGTCTGGAAGGGGTTCCATCTGATAGTTGTCCCACACCATGAGGACTAAAAAACTTCATTGGATGAATCCAGGACAGTGCTTCCCATGCTCCTGTGCTCATTGATCTAGTTAGATTTTGTTCAGTCTTCTTAACATATTTTTATAATTTCAAAGAAAAAAGGAAAAGAAATAATGCTAATACATAGTTTAAAAGAATATAGAAAATATAGGAAAAGTGGGGGGGGGGGGAGCCAGTAAACAATAACATACAGGTGAACAGCCACCAACTTTAAATAACTAGCAGATCTAAAATATCATATGCTTAATATATTCTAATGTGCCATTAACGACTTAGCATACTATAAGATTTCATACCCAATTTCTATCAAGACATGTCTCTATGGACCTGAAAAAATATTTGCTTAGCACAATTGAAATCAATAAAGGGGAAAAAAAAGCTATAAATAATAAAGAATAGATTGAAAGAGTACTGTAAATAAGGTGTAAACTATATATCAGATTAAAATATAAACTCTAGAACCCAAATTTGGGATGTGGCACAATTCCATAAATAGAATTGTAGTTCAGAAATGATTTCCAAATAAGACTGAATTGTACATCAGATTTACTTTTCAGATATGAAGTTAATCTAGACATCAAAGCATACTCCCATAATTTAATTAACCATTGTTCCATACAGGGGATCAAAGATCTTTTCCAATAAAAAGCATATAATCTTTGCAGCTGTTATCATATATTATGCCAGTTCAGTATATTTTTTAAAAATGGGTGATTTAACGGAGTTTAATAAAAAATATCTCAGGTTGAAATGTAATTATGACTTTCAAAATCTCTTCCATTCTACGATGAATTCATTTCCAATACTGTTGAGTTTTGCAACATTGCCACCACATATGGAAGAAAGATCCAACCTGTTGATTGCATTTCCAGCACTTGCAGAAAAGGAGTGACTCATTTTAGCAATCACGACTGGAGTAATACACCATCAATAAAACGTCTTATACTAGTTCTCCCTAAGTATATTTGTAGTAAACTTCTTTTTCCAGTAAAATTCCCACAGTTCCATCTCTATAACTGTACTCTAATTTTGCATCCATTTATACAATGTTGTGGAAAATTCTGAAGTGCAGAGCACAACGCTGAGAAGCAAGAACCATGTTTATTGCAACGTTGATTGCCTGCTGTACAAGAAAGAGGGGCCTGTCACAATGACAAAGCAACGAATTTTACAGAAGTTGAGGGCCACAAGGTGGGAATGCTAGGGATCTGATTGGCTGGCAACTTTTTGGGAACCTGGGCCAGTCCTTGTCCAAGACTTTTTCTATAGTTAGGCAAAGCAGCCCTTTCAGAGGTCAACAGAGCTGGGGAAATGTTAAGGAGTGTTAAGCAGCTGGAATGTTGAGGATGATCAACAGCATGATCCTGATTGGGGATGGAAGGTTGGGGCTTCTCTAGATTGCAGTTTCCTTGTAAGGGTTGCCCTTGGCTGTGCTGTGAGCTGGTGAGGCGGCTTCTATTCTTTGGTCTAGATCAGTGTTGTCCAAACTTGGCCACTTTAAGATGAGTGGACTTCAACTCCCAGAATTCCCCAGCCAGCAGGGCGGGCTGG